TGGAGGCACAAACAAACACTACTGCAGGTTCGGGCGCTTACCCCGCCGCGCTTGCAGATCCAAGATGGCGCTGGCGCGCCAAATTCACCGGCGGCCTACTCCGACCACAGCGACCTTACTTCAATCTCTGAGCCAGTAGCAACCCCGGCCACAGACCTCTCAATCCACAAAATGCTGAAAGCTATGCAAACTTCACTGCAAGCTTATTTCAATAAAATGGCGCGTGACATTAGGTCGGATATCCAGGCACTAGGGGAACGAACTACCCACCTCGAGGATAAAACGGAGGAACTTATATCAGCCCACAACACCTTGACAGATGCCTATACAGAACTTAGAGAAAGGCTAGAGCAACTTACCGGAAAAGTGGCGGACCACGAGGACAGAGACAGGCGCAGCAACATCCGCCTCCGCGGCATCCCAGAAGATGTCCTGCCCCAAGACCTCCAGGCATACACCACATGTCTCTTCCAACATTTGGTCCCAGACCTACCGCAACACGATTTCCTCATTGACCGCATTCATCGCTTACCAAAGCCGAGATTTCTCTCTGCATCAATCCCAAGAGACACCATCGCAAAACTACATTACTACACCACAAAAGAAAAAATCATGAAAGCCTCCAGAAGCACCCGCGACGTACCGGAGAAATTTGCTGGTGTCCACCTATTCACGGATCTATCAGCATCTACGCTGTCAAAAAGAAGGGAGCTTGCCCTCATCACAAGAGCCCTGAGAGATGCCAACGTCCTCTACAGGTGGGGATTCCCAGCTCGCCTGATTATTCGGCGCAATGGCATAGACCGGCATGTCACCACCGTGGATGACGGCAAGAACCTCCTGAAAGAATGGGACATACCTCTTCCACAACAGCCTGACCGGGCCACCCAAGAAGATCGCCGAAAATCGCCGAGCAAGGTCCAGAACGACTGGAATGTCGCAGCCTCAGCTAAGTGATCCCGCCATTTTCACACTGCCTCAGACTCACACTCTAAGGCAGACATGCCTGACGTGCCTTAATGCTATTGACTATTTTCTCACGCTATAAGATCCACGGTTATACCTGTGAACTTTTGACTATTTTTCATACGTAGGAGGGTGTGACGGGGATACCCAGGGGAATCTGGATAAGCCTTGCTGCAGCGGTGGGGTCTCTGCTATTTGGGTCCGGCCGCTGCAGCGACGCGAAGAGCAACCTCAGCTAAGTGATCTTTCCGCACTTACATTACTTCTGGCCTACTCTTCACGGCGGTCCACCTGACAACCCCGTCCACAAGAGCCGCTAATTGTTTTCTCTCTATACAAAACGTACCGTTTTGATTGTCAAATGCAAAATGTTTATTATCTTCTGCATGAAACTCTAGTTTGAACACCTGGAGAATACCTAGATAGGCCTTGCGGCGACGTTTGGGCCCTTGCCATTTGGGCCGGGCCCGGCCGTTGCAGCGATGCACAGAGCAGCCCTAGCTGAGCAACCCTCCCCCATTCACAGTGCCCCCAGCCTACACTCCAGGACGGGTCTGCCTGATCCCCCTGCACACGAGAGTCACAGATTGCTTTATCTTCACAAGACCCACAGATAAGCAGGTTGATTACTAAAGTACTGAATATTACATGTGCAGGGGGTTCTGTTTTAACGGTCCAAGGGGCACATAGATAAGCCTTGCCGCTACGGTGGGGCCCCTACAGTTCGGGCCTGGCCGTTGCGGCGATGCGAAGAGGGAAGTTACGCACAGCTCCTACTAATCCCTACATTTCGGGCATCGAGTGAGGGGTGTCCCCGTTGCATACTCAGCAGCGAATAGACTGACCTCGTGGGGTCATGATAACTTATATCTCCTCCAGACAAATGGAGTCTGAACCAAAGCTAAAAATCCTACAAGGGGGCCCCACAAACCAATGAGGGTCAATTACCCACTGGTTTACTAACACCCCCCAGGCTCGCAGGAGCCTTTCTATCTCCGTCTATGCCACTCGGCACCTTCCATGACGGAATTCTGTATATAGTTACCCCTCCCCTAATATCTCAGTTTATGTTCTGTATAAGTACCCTCTCCCTCCCCACCAAACCTCTCAAGCAGTTACTACATCGCCCAAGGTCTATAGCAGCACGGGCGAACCCACATAGGTCGACCATGCACCATACCCACATTGATTACGCGAATAGATTGTCCCATGAAGACATCGTCACCAAGATGTCTAGCAAACAGATACGTGAACAAGAGAACCAAACTACTAGGGTCTACTCTCATGCTCTACCCTATACAACACTTATGATGGAGTATCAAGCTATCCTGCCACCTACCTAAATGACGCTTACTTTTTTATCCCTAAACGTCAAAGGTTTGAACTCTCCCCATAAACGTAGGTTAGCGTTAGAAGAAGCGAAGAAACATAAAGCCCATATAGCGTTCTACCAAGAGACACACTTCAAATGGGGTTCACGCCCCAGGTTCTGCTCCACACTATTCCCACATGATTTTCACTCATGCTACAAGAAAAAAAAGAGAGGGGTATCCATCCTAATAGGGAAAGCAGTCGCGTTCTCCCTAGTTAAGAAAATTGGGGATAAACATGGACGATACCTATTGATTCAATGTTATATAAACAATGAACCATATACACTGATTAATATATATGGCCCCCACACGAATCAAACAGAGTTTCTGGACAACATATTTGCCCTAATCAACCTGCACACATTCGGAGAACTCATCATGGGGGGTGACACTAATTTCCTTTTAGACTGTTCTCTTGACTCCACTTCAGCCCATAAACTCGCCAAAGCCTCTGCACGCAAACAACACAAATCCACCTCCCACCTATGTAACCAGATTTTACACAATAACCTACTGGACCCCTGGAGAATCCTCCGACCCTTAGAGCGAGATTATACTTTCCACTCCCCAGTCCACAACTCCTATACCAGAATAGACAGATTCCTCCTACCGGCCACAACTATGCATAAAGTTCTAGCAGCCCAGATTGGCCTAATTACCTGGTCTGATCATGCTCCAATAACACTAGCTCTAGCAGAACAGTTTCCCACGACAGGCAAAGGGACGTGGAGACTCAATGACTCCCTATTATTAGACCCTAAAGTAGTGGACCAAATCAAAGCTGACTTACTGTCTTACTTTCACACAAACATGACCCCTGACATTGACATATCGACTATATGGCAAGCACACAAAGCTGTCATGCGTGGTCTTCTAATTAGGGCAGGCAGCTATGCCAAAAAACAACGACTCAAAGAATACACTACACTGATCTCTGAAATAACCGGTCTCACGCACAAGAACAAATCCAGCCCCTCGCAAGACACAAAACGCAAACTCCTGTCCCTGCAAACTACACTCAGAGATCTAGAATTTAAAAAAACAACCTTCATGCTTCGACGCTATAAACACAATTTCTTCACCCGTGGCAACAGAGCGGGCGCACTGCTGGCAGCACAGCTCAAGGCGCGCTCTGCTAACTCGAGAATTGCCTACATTAACACCTCCTCGAACCGAAAACTTACAAACTCACAAGATATAGTGGATGCATTTGCCTCCTACTATAGCAAACTCTATAACCTAAAGGAAGATCCTGAAGTAATCCCACCACCTCCGTCTCTAATCCAAGACTTCATAGCACAGGCAAACCTCCCCACACTAACTCCCGAAGACATTACCTCACTCACCGCACCGTTCACCACGCAGGAAATAGAGAAAACAGTAGCACAACTGCCCAAACACAAGGCTCCTGGCCCAGATGGTTACACGAATTTCTACTACCAAACGTTCGCACACATAATATCCCCGCACCTGGCCGCATTATTCAATCAATCCTTCCAAAGGGGATCACTGCCCTCTGAGATGCTGAGAGCACACATCTCTACCCTCCCAAAACCGGGCAAATCCCCAACGCAATGCCACAACTTTCGACCGATCTCATTGCTAAATGGAGACGTGAAGCTTTACGCTAAGCTCTTAGCGAACAGACTATCTGACGTTCTCCCAAAATTGACTCATAATGACCAATCCGGGTTTGTTAAAACAAGACAAGGCTCCGACAACACCCGAAAGATTTTGAATATTCTCGCACATATTCAGACTAGTCGCGAAGAAGGCCTTCTCTTAGCGCTAGACGCAGAAAAGGCCTTCGACAGGCTCAATTGGGACTATATGCAACATGTACTCCAAGCATTCGGCTTTACACCGCCGATAATATCTGGAATCATGGCTCTATATAACAGCCCGACCGCACAGGTGGCAAATGCGGGCTTTCTGTCCAAACCATTTAATATCACCAATGGCACCAGACAAGGGTGCCCCCTATCACCATTATTGTTTGTTCTATCCCTAGAGCCGTTAGCGCACATCATCAGACACCACCCAGACATCAAAGGCATAGCAATAGGCCCGAGCGAATACAAACTCTCTATGTTCGCAGACGACGTTCTTGTCACACTGAGCAAGGTTACCACGTCGCTCCCAACCCTGATGCACCTCTTAAAAACTTATGGCAAGGTGGCATGTTACAAACTAAATCAAACTAAGACACAGGCCATGCCCATTGGACTTTCACATACCCTGGTCAGGGAACTCACACGAAACTATAAGTTTGATTGGAGGGAAGACCACATTACATACCTAGGAGTCAAAATAGCACCCACAGTAGAACGTATGTACCATTATAACTATAAACCACTAATCCACCTATGTGAAACGGAATTCCTTCGATGGAAGCCGGTAAAGCTGTCATGGTTAGGCAGAATCAATACTATTAAAATGGTCCTCCTGCCAAAGCTACTGTACATATTCCGCCTCCTCCACATACATGCTCCACCCACTCTTTTTAAACAGCTCCAACAAATCTTGTCATCATTCATATGGGACTCACGTAAACCCAGGTTATCCCACCGCTTATTACAACAACGCACAATAGAGGGCGGTGTAGGCCTCCCAGATGTATATACATACTATAAGGCAGCTCACTTAGAAGCCGCAGTGAAAATGCATACCCCCAAGGCGGCATATCAGTGGGTAGACATGGAGGTGGCGAAATCCGCCATGACACCATTGGTGGATACCCTATGGACTCCCAAGACGCTTCGCCCCAAAGGTGGAACCCTATTCCCAACCACATCACTCACCCTACATCACTGGGATGCACTAAGACACAGGCAAAATTCCACCTATAAATTCCACCCTCGAGCACCACTGACGGCCCTACGAGCAATCTCACCATGGCTCTCCCTGCAATCCTGGGTTAAGTTAGGTATTAAACACCTAGATCAAGTCATGCAACATAACCTCATCAAACCTTTCCCAGACCTACAGCATGAATTTAAACTAACCAACTCATCAATATTCCCATACATGCAGCTCAAGAGTGTCATACCCACTCATGTGGCACAAATCGCTATGAGTGCTAGCCGAGACACCAAAGTAGTAGATACACTATATGACAGAAAAAAAATATAAAGGTCCCAATAGTGTACCTGAAGATAGAGTTCAAAACACAGCTAAAAGGTTAACTCTCAACTGAAAAGGGGACTCCACTAAAAAATCCCTATAAGTGCAATAGACAAAAAATATTGGATGAATAATCCAATATGTATTCAGGAGTAGTGTATACCTTTAAATATGAACTAGCATTTAAGAATGTTAAAACAGTATGATATGATTTGGAATAGCAAATAAATAAAAAGCATATATAAAACAAGTGATATGAATATGCTCTTGCAATAAATCCAATAGTCAGACAAAATGTTCTTGTATTGATACAATTGTATCATTTAGAGTGAGAGTTCATAACAGTCCGTAAATAATGTTAGCTGCTTTAGCTTTTACCAGTTATAAACGAACTGGAATAATGGATGCTGAATTAGCTGAATTAGTATAGTACAAATATATTTGTTGGAAGCAATAGTAATTGGCAAATATAATAGTGTACTTGTGAAAAAAAAAAAAAAAAGGAATGAAATGATAATTACTAGCAGGTCATGATTAGTGACTTGCAGTACACTGGAAAGAAAATCCCTCTGGTCTTGCAGAGACTAATGCAGAGATGCTTTCTGTGTTATATATGAATACATTTATTGTCCACAAAGTAAAATTAAAATTACACTTACAATTAAGTAAAGAACTAAATATGCTGAGCTGGGATCGGCAAAGTATGATGTTAGCAGCTGTCAGGAGCTGGTCCTGCCGGCAGATGCTGCTGAGAGCCGCGTGCGTGTCACTGATCTTCCTGCATTCCAGATACAGCCTGTTCGTCTTTACGGTAAGTGCCAGAAAGTAAACTAATGTCCTTACGCGTTTCGTGAGTCTGCTGCTCACTTCATCAGAGGATGTTGAGCAGGAGAGACCCACGGGTTTAAATAGCCAGTGGTTACTTTGGCTTTTATTAACCCTTTCAGGTTAAAATCCATACTTGCTCTGTTTCATAATATATTTCATAGTTATAATTCACAATTATGATTGATATAAATTCTAAACGTTTTTGTACACATATATTTAAATAACTTTGATAGTGAAAAATATACAAATGAATAAAAAATAATAAAAAATGAGAAATAATGAATAAAATACATTTTATACTAAAACTTTCAATTGCAACAAGATTTTTTAATAAAAAAGGGACTTTGATATATAAAATTCTAGTTCTTTAAAAACTCTATTGGGATGTCTGATAAAATAGATGTGTCAGCATATGTTTCAAATAGTAAAATTTCCATATAATACATTTATAAAGATCAGTGGATACCAGTTAATCTAAATAATTGATATAAACAAAAAATGGAAAAAGAAAAAGAAATTGCATAACTCATTAAAAGATATGGTTTCATATATATACAAGGATAATTCTATATAAGAGAACAATGGTGTTATATTTTATAGGAGACTGATATTAAAGAAAAATTGTTCAAACTGAGAGGAAAAAAAATAAAAAAAATAAATAAATTTAAAAAATCCATAGGTTAAGTAAAAATATAAATAGACTTAAGAATAAAAAATAGACACAAAAAAGAATACTTGATTTTATAAAACATATTCTAAAGATTATATTTATAAAAATGCTCGCAACTCAAAATCTACGTTTAATCCCTTTGGTTCTAATGTTTCTAATTTAAATATCCAACTTGCCTCTGCTTTGTCTAATTCTTTTTCTAAATCGCCTCCTCTCCATGGGATATTGACTTTTTGTATTGCCATAAAATTGAGACCTCCAGGATTTTTTACATGTTTAATATCAAAATGTTTGGAAAGATTATGAGAATGGAGTCCTTTTTTGATGTTCCTAATATGTTCTCCCATTCTTATTTTAAATGTTCTTTTTGTGCGTCCTATATATAGTTTTTCACATGGACATTTTAATAAATAAATCACACCCTTAGTGTCACATGTTAATTGCGATTTAATTTTAAAACATTCTTTTGTTTGAGGATGGGCAAATTGTGTGATTTTAGTTGGCTGATTTGGATTATTATTACAGGCTTGACATCTTCCACATTTCCAAAAACCTAAGGTTTTCTTTGGAATATTATTGATTTCTTGCATTTTTTCTTGTTTGGTAGTTGGAGCTAGTAGTAGACTTAGATTTGGGGCTTTGGAATATATAATTCTAGGTCACTTTTCCAATATTTGATCTAGTTGAGGATCCCCTTTTAAAATATTCCAATTTTTTTTGTAAAATTTTTTTAAATTCATGAGTGTGGTTGTTGTATCTAGTTATAAAAGCTGGAGCTTCTACATTGGTATTGCTGATTTTCGATTTTGTTGTTAAAATTTGCTCTCTTGTTAAGAGGGAGGTTTTGGATACTGCTTCATTAAGTATTTTTGTTGAGTACCCCTTTGCTTGGAATTCTGATATCATCCTTGTAGTTTGTTCTTCGCAGATATTGGGTTCTGAACAATTCCTCTTAATTCTCCTAAATTGACTAAATGGAATATTATTTAGCCAACTTTTTTTGTGGAAACTATTATGTGGAATGAAGCTATTACAAGCTACTGTTTTCCTAAAAGTTTTAGTTTCCAATTTGTTATTTTTAATGTAAATTTCCAAGTCTAAAAATTCAAGATTTTCGGAGGATTGATTAAACGTGAATTTTAAATTATAGGGATTAAAATTAAGATATTCTTTAAAATCTTCAAGCTTTAAAATATCTCCTTTCCAAATAAAAATACAGTCATCTATATAGCGATGCCATGAGACCAGATTTGCGCCATATGGGTTATTGGACCAGATGTGTTCATCTTCCCATTTTCCCATAAATAAGTTGGCATAACTAGGCGCAAATCTGGTCCCCATGGCCGTGCCTTCAATCTGTAAGTAGTGATGGTTGTTACCCCAAAAATAATTATGACTGAGTATATATGCTACACATTTAACAATGTATTCAATTTGATCATTTGGTAGTTCCTCTCAGTTTGAACAATTTTTCTTTAATATCAGTCTCCTATAAAATATAACACCATTGTTCTCTTATATAGAATTATCCTTGTATATATATGAAACCATATCTTTTAATGAGTTATGCAATTTCTTTTTCTTTTTCCATTTTTTGTTTATATCAATTATTTAGATTAACTGGTATCCACTGATCTTTATAAATGTATTATATGGAAATTTTACTATTTGAAACATATGCTGACACATCTATTTTATCAGACATCCCAATAGAGTTTTTAAAGAACTAGAATTTTATATATCAAAGTCCCTTTTTTATTAAAAAATCTTGTTGCAATTGAAAGTTTTAGTATAAAATGTATTTTATTCATTATTTCTCATTTTTTATTATTTTTTATTCATTTGTATATTTTTCACTATCAAAGTTATTTAAATATATGTGTACAAAAACGTTTAGAATTTATATCAATCATAATTGTGAATTATAACTATGAAATATATTATGAAACAGAGCAAGTATGGATTTTAACCTGAAAGGGTTAATAAAAGCCAAAGTAACCACTGGCTATTTAAACCCGTGGGTCTCTCCTGCTCAACATCCTCTGATGAAGTGAGCAGCAGACTCACGAAACGCGTAAGGACATTAGTTTACTTTCTGGCACTTACCGTAAAGACGAACAGGCTGTATCTGGAATGCAGGAAGATCAGTGACACGCACGCGGCTCTCAGCAGCATCTGCCGGCAGGACCAGCTCCTGACAGCTGCTAACATCATACTTTGCCGATCCCAGCTCAGCATATTTAGTTCTTTACTTAATTGTAAGTGTAATTTTAATTTTACTTTGTGGACAATAAATTTATTCATATATAACACAGAAAGCATCTCTGCATTAGTCTCTGCAAGACCGGAGGGATTTTCTTTCCAGTATACTGCAAGTCACTAATCATGACCTGCTAGTAATTATCATTTCATTCCTTTTTTTTTTCTCACAAGTACACTATTATATTTGCCAATTACTATTGCTTCCAACAAATATATTTGTACTATACTAATTCAGCTAATTCAGCATCCATTATTCCAGTTCGTTTATAACTGGTAAAAGCTGAAGCAGCTAACATTATTTACGGACTGTTATGAACTCTCACTCTAAATGATACAATTGTATCAATACAAGAACATTTTGTCTGACTATTGGATTTATTGCAAGAGCATATTCATATCACTTGTTTTATATATGCTTTTTATTTATATGCTATTCCAAATCATATCATACTGTTTTAACATTCTTAAATGCTAGTTCATATTTAAAGGTATACACTACTCCTGAATACATATTGGATTATTCATCCAATATTTTTTGTCTATTACACTATATGACAGATGCTGGCAAACTCCATCCAAACCGAAAACCCTTGCTCTATGCTACCAAGTAATCCTAAAAACAGCACCACACTACGTCCCACCCTTCGCGAACCAATGGCTCACTGAATGTGATGAGCTCATAACGGAGGCAGAAGTGCTAGCGTCTCCCAACGCCCTCAAGGGCCTTACACAAAGCTACTCACACATAGAGGCCCACAGGAAATTGGTATACAGGTGGTACTTAACACCACACAGGCTCCATACCATGTACAACTCTGTCTCCCCGCTTTGCTGGAGATGTGGGGAAAAACAGGGCACAATGTTCCACATCTGGTGGGCGTGCCAACGCATACGCCCCCTATGGGAGGACGCACAGTCCACCCTACGGAACATGGGCATCACAGCACCACCACTGGATGTACATACAGGGTTATTTCTTTCCTATCCGCACTCGACCCCAAAATCGGTAAAATGCATACTGGCAATCACTGCATTAGCAGTACGAAACCTCATAGCAACACACTGGAAAAAGCGGGAATGCCCTTCCAAAACCCAATTGTTGACTATGCTCCACTGCTACCACATATATGAAGGCTTGACAGCCAAAACGGCCCCACAAAAAAAGTCCTTCCAGATGTCCTGGGCACCATGGGCTGATTTTTGGGAAAGGGTGAATGCAACTAACGTGACATAGCACCAAGCATGACTA